TCTCTCTCTCTCTCTCTCTCTCTCTCTCTCTCTCTCTCTCTCTCTCTCTCTCTCTCTGTGCCCATCATCGGAAGACATGCGACCTGGCCATCTCGGCATGGTGCTTGCCGCCGTCATTCGATGGGTGCGAATGAGGGAGAAAGTGTGCGTGCTCATGGCGATGATGCTCATGCTTGCTGTGACGAACATTGTCGCCATGCACAATGCGACCACAATCTTGTTGTTCCTAGCATACGACTTGCATGAAGGACATGGCGGGGGAGGAGCTTTCAATCCGTTGGGAGGCAGAGGACGGAGACGGCTTTGGGTCCGAGAGCAAGTGGGAGGGACATGGGAGGAGCTGAATATGGAGGGACTGGGACACGAGAAAAAATTCCGTGAGTACACTCGGCTTACGAGGCCTCTGTTCGACGAGATTTTGGAGCGGATCGCACCGAGGATACAAAGGATGGACACCCATTATCGACAGGCTTTGCCGGCGTCTTTGAAGTTCGCCTTCGCGCTATACCGATGGGCGACGGGGGGATATTACCGACAGTGTGGCAAAGACTTCGGATTAGGACGGCACAGTGCCATCAGATGCACGGACGACGTCGCAAGAGCTCTCTGTGACGAGTATGGCCATGTGTTGTCTTGGTCGACAGGGGATCGCTTGCAAAAGACTTTAGATTATTATGAGGGGAAAGGATTCCCTGGTTGTTTCGGTGTGATTGACTGTACACATATCCTTATCGACAAGCCCCGTGGTGGTGAGGCTGAACCATATTTCGACAGAAATAGGCAGTATTCCATCGTCGCACAAGTAGTGTGCGATGAGAACCTGCACATTTTGGACGTCAGCGTCGGGGCCCCGGGGGCGGTGCACGATTCTCGTATACTGCGCCTTTCCGATCTGTACAATCGCGGGGAGGAGGGTAGGGAGCCTTTCATTCGGAGGACAAACGTCCTCATAGATGGCACTGTAATGGGACGATATCTGATGGGGGACGCTGGTTATCCGATCCTCCCGTGGCTGATGATTCCGTTTGGAGGATGTGAGCGGACTACAGAGGAAAGAGCGTTTGATAACAAGTTCTCCGCCCTTCGCAGTGTGATCGAAAGGTGCTTTGGTCGGTTGAAAGGAATGTGGCGTTGCTTTGGTCGGAAACACATAGCTAATATGCGCAACGTGTGTTACCAGTTTTTCGTGTGCTGCATTCTGCACAACATCATCATGGACGCAGGCATCCTGGTCGACGAAGACTTGCTGCGATGGAGAGGGGGGGAAGATAGCGACGAAGACAACGACGACGATGGACCAGCGCGTGACGATGATGGCGACGAAGGGGATGATGCCGAGGCTCAGCTGCGTAGAGAAGGCAGTTTATTGTACGCTACCCATCGCATTCGTCGCGATGCCGCAACTGCTCTCCGATCGTCTGTTGTCCGTCACGCTCTTCATGTCTCTCGAGTGTTTGGTGTTCACGGTGGTGCACAACAGCGGTAGGGTAGATTGAACCACGACAACGGGCATAGACACGGACACACACACGAACATATTGACACATTTTTCCTAGAGAGAGAGAGAGAGAGAGAGAGAGAGAGAGAGAGAGAGAGAGAGAGAGAGAGAGAGAGAGAGAGAGAGAGAGAGA